GCTCTCAAATCGACTTTTACTGAATATTCTATAAGAATAGTTCTCTTTTTGACAAACGAATCAGAATGACCCATCATCGCTGGTGGAGACCCCTATATATATAATGTAAAGACTGTAAACGTCTTTTGGGGGCTGTTAAAATAATTGAGTTTATTTAAGAGTCAGGCTTCTTCAAACCCTTTAGTTTTAGTAAGAGTTTAACGACACTTGCATCACAATAAGGTCATATAAGTACCGAAGATTAGAGGTGTTACAAGAGAGTAATAAACACAAAAAAAGGAAGGATGGGAGATAGAGACGATATATTTTTTATAGGAAAGAAGGAGCCGCTAAAGAGGGCCAAGCCACCCAGGATGAGTGGAATGGAGCGTAAGAGCAGACAGACGGAGATACAGGACTAAACAGCTTCCCACATAGGAATCGAACTCACATCTCTCGTGTGTAAACAATATCAAAGAGCCTTACCATTGCACCACAGATGTCGGACTCGTGTTTTTGAGAAACAAAGGAAAAAGTCGACTTGATCACTGGAGGAGGCATCGGCACTACACAAGAGACAATAGCTGAGGTCTTTGGTCTAGGTAGTGACGTACTTCGCTAATCATCTTCGTCGAAATAGCAAATGCAACATGGTGAAAGTTTAACGCCAATTTTACCCTTTTAACATTGTACGGTTTTTTAAGAGTAGGGACCTCCGAGTTTAACGTCCATCACCGATAGGACCGAGACAATATTATATAGACAGTTTGTTTTAGTAAGTGTTTTACGGCACTCGCAACACAATAAGGTCATATAAGTACCGAAGATTAGAGATGTTACAAGAGAGTAACAAACACAAAACAAGGAGGGGAGATAAAGACGATATATGTTTGATAGGAAAGAAGACGCAAACCATATCAGAGCATCCGCCAACCACCCACATTATATAGACAGAGAGTCTTTAAAAAACAAAAAAACAGCCAAAGGTCAAAACGCCCCGTTGGGGATTCGAGCCAAGGCCACCTGTTCTGCAGTCTAGCAAGATACAAACTGAGCTAACGGCGTGCCCTTCTTTGCGTAAACAGAAGCATGGCGGCCTAACGACAATGGCGTTTTTTAAGTGCTGATAAAAAGTGAGACCAGACAGACCGCAACAATGGGAGGATAATGAAGTAGCAGACAGTCGCTTTTGAAGAACACTGCCAGGGAGAATCATGCTCTCTTAGAAGATCATACATGAGACCAGCTAAGTAAAAGCTCTCCCCATCTTAGCTAAAGACTGTAACTGGCAATGTGGGAGGGACCTTTATTACGGTGAGATCACTAATGCCTTGTTGCTGTAAGGGAAATGGAATCTATCATTTCTTCTATTCACCTTTTTGAAGTTGTGGGGAGGTTGGAAGGATGGCAGTTGTGATGATGGGGGTGGAGGCTTTTATATTATTCAAACACAGACGTAAGACTTTTACATGTATAAACCTCAAAAACAAAGATAAAGGCATGTTTTTTTGTAAAAGCTAAAGACAAAAAGGGTGGATATTTCAACGGTTGTTTTACGTTAGGAAGAAAGTCAGCTAGACATACAGAACCAGCAGATGGACAAAAGAGAAATAGAGACAACCAATCTGTGGCATTTTTAAAGTGAGACGTCAAATTGCAAACAAGGGAGAAAACTGCCTTTTCAACAACAACAACAACAACAACAACAACAACATCACCCCACCTCGATACCCACCTCCTCACGCAGACCACCACGACCAAGGTGAGCAGAACGATGAAGAGGACGGAGACGACGCCGATGATGATCTGGCAGGTCAAAGCACAAGTGTCGTCGACCAGCACCCCGTCCCCGCCCCCGCCAGCCGCCCCATCTCCAGGACCTGGCAGGACTTTGACCCCGTCGTGTCGGATCTTACACTTGTCGGCCATGTACAGTTTGACTCTCTCTCCCACCTCTGTGCCCACACAGCCAGTCCAGTTCAACCTGCAGCGAGAAGACGATAAAAAACAGAAACCTTTTAGTAAGAGTTTTACGGCACTCGCAACATAAATTTGCCATAAAGTGCAGAAGACTAGATCTAGAAGTAGTTTTAGTTTTAGTTTGAGTTAAGGGAAACACATCGACACATTGATGAAAATTCAGTGCTGGGAAAAAGTAAGACAGACAGACAGAAACAACAGATGCAAAGTACAGAAACAGTATCTACCAGTGGCGCCCTTCAACAACCTACTAAGAATAACAGAAGTATTATTAGAGAGTAACATGCATAGATAAGAAGGAGTAAATATAAGGATGATAGATGTTTGATATAAAAGAAAGAGCAGGTCACATCAGACCATCTGCAAACCATCCACAACGAGAAGAAAGCAATGGTACAGTTTAGTCTGTGACTAGAAGACGATTGTGGTTCAGTTCAAAATAAATATATATCTTTAAAAAAAGGATAATCTGG